TACGGCCTCACTGCATTCGTCGTCCCACCAAGGGCAAGGAGGCACGGACTTCATTAATAAATCCAATTTGAAACAGCGCCAAAACTGCTGAACTAAAAGCTGTTCTGAGCTTACATGCATACATGCGTGTATATTTGGTTACATACCCAAATGTAGTGGTTTCTCTTCAACTTAATTTTACATTTTTCGGTCATCTTTTGGTTTCATTTCAAAGCTTATAGTTCAGCTGTTTTGGCGCTGCTCATTATCCTACTTTTTAATTAGGGATATAATTAATAATATTAAATAACTAAAATTGATAGCTTAGATCTATTTAGATATTCGCATAATCTAGGGATTGCTTAATTTAATAATTATCGAGATATATGCCATTCATTTTTCTTGGACAGCGCCACCTTTTCAAAAATTTAGAAGTCCTATATTACAATTTCTTTGTTATGTAATCTTCAGTTTAAAATAATTTTGAAAATTTTATTATTATTTGATGCAATACTTTATTTTTAATATTTATGTTCCAGTTCAAATTGTTAACAAATATTGCTTCTTATGTCTACTAAAACTATTTAATATTCCTTGGGTTTGATTACATTTTAATAACATATAAATAGAATATATATATATATAGAGTTTAAAATATCAACAAATGTAAAATGCAGGAAAGTAAACTTTTGTGAACTCAAAGATCCATATTATCATCGGTGGATTCGCCTTCGAGCGTCACCCGCGCCTCGATTCTCTTTTTCACGCGAACCTTTTTCTTTCTTCTATTGATAACTCCATCCTCCTCATCCATCATCCGCAATATCACAGACTGATCTGAGCAATCCAGAGGCGCCACGGATATATCTCGTACAGCTCTGAACTTACCGCAATTGTTCAAATGCTCGTTTTCCAATCGGAAGAAATTCCAGATGAATCTGAATAAATAAAAAATCTTTAGTTATTTATACAATATAAAATCGAAATCGAATTACCTTCGGAATACTTCGAGAGGTGCTAGAATGGTTATCATTAGTTCAGCGTGGATGTATCCAAGTTCTGTTAATGACATCGAAAATGCCCAGCTGAAGCGCAGCAGAAGATCCTCGACTATTCCGAAGTAATAGAAGTACTGAAAAATAGGGAATCATCTTAATAAATATATTTATGTTTTAGTAAGAGACAAAAAATACTGTGGAAGGATACACGATTTCTTCTCGCAGGAATTTGTTGTCTCCTGCCTTTGAATCGAATAAACCCCAATCCAGTCGGATATCCCAAGTGTAGGCGTAGCAAGAACTGAGGAGAGATGATGTTAACCATAGATAGAAGAAAGGATTCTCGAACATTGATGTGTAACGATCTAAAGAATTTTACAGAATTATATTTTTAGAAAGTTTAAAGATGCTGTCTTTACCTGAGTAAATGGTAAACAATGTTGAGAAGATGATCACGAAGAAGGACGTAGAGTATTTGGCAGCATTCGCGAGATGCGGGAAAGCTTCTCTTGTGTCTCTATAGCGACGAAGACATTGCGCAAACCGGAACCACGCCGGAAGAGCGGCCATTATCGATCTTAGTGGAATAAACTTGTTAATACAATAATCGATATCTGCCGAGAAAGAAACGCATTTGAAAGTTCAACAAATGTAGTAAAGAGAGAGAGAAATGGTACTGTCATTGAGGCAAACCTTTAGCTTCGAACCAGTTGGTGTTGGTGATGTAGAAGCAGAAGAAGTATTGCAGATCGGTGAATAGGGTCATCATGCTGTTGAGCTGATCGGCCATCCAGAACTCAGCGAAGGTTACGTAGAAGAACGGAGTGACCAGAACACGGCTCTGTTGATAATTACTTTTTTAGTTTGCTGACTTCATAATAAGCTCATTCATAAGATGCTTACCAACACTCTCAAGGCCCAAAATCTCGCTTCGTGCCTCAAGGTTTTCGTGGGATTCAACAGGAACGCGGCCATCAAGCAGTTGAGTATGAACGGGTTCAGGTAAGCGGGAATGCTGAGCTGCGCACTGTAAAGGAAGCACAGCAAAGAAATGGACCATATTACGCCGAAGATTGCAGCCATCTCGATGATGTGCTGCTCGGAGAGGTGATTCCGTGGGTCCATCTCGAAGATGAGAACGTGATTGACTCCCGAAGACCTCCAGCCGTAGATGTTTATGCCCCAGAGGAAGAGGAACTCAACGATGAGGAAGGAACCGCGGTACAACCGCGTGATGATCTTCCAATCGTCGCCCTTGTGATTGAAGATAGCTTCAAGAAAGAATGCCGACGATCGTTCAACTATTTACTGCTCACCTGATAAGATGACTGCGATCAGAAGAACAACGAACGACCCGGAAAACAGACCTACTTTGAATGTAATCCAAGGGCTCTGCTGCTCACCCAACGGCGGCACCCTCAACCGTTTCATAGCCCTCTGGCGATCTCCACCTTCCAGATCATTGGTGACCGTACCCTCCGTCTCCCTTATAATTTTATCGATATCCTTGTTCATATAAAAGTGAGAACTCTCCACGTGGTTTATACGGAACTTTGTACCCACATCGGAAGACAACAGCTGCGTAAAAAGAAAATAATGAATGGTAGTTTAGAACAAAGATTCTGAAAATACTTTGTCGTGCTTTTTCAGTATTTTTCTGAAACCGGTGAAGTTGAGGTTTTGATAGTTTTGAAGCAGTATTAAGCTCAGGTAGAATTCGCTAAAAGCCAATTTCAGTTCCTGCATCTTTCTCGCCGGTAAATTCTTCCTGCGAAGGATTCTTTTACTATAGTTCTTTGAGCTCTGCTTTCCTTTGTACTCCTCCTCCATGGCGTCGCTCAGTTCGCTCTTCAGATTCGCCGATTTCCTGGTAGCTTCAGCCAATTTTTCTAATAAGAAATTAGAAAATTATTATTTATATTTTTTTTTATAAAAAGATGAAATTTTAACTGCAAAACATTTCTTAGCAACAAAATAACAACATCGTTTACAATCTAATCTAATTCAGTACGTGACTAAGGAAAAATAAGCGACTACTTAAAAATAGTTCGTAAGTAAGCTCGATAATTAGTGGAAATAAGGACAAGTTTAAGTTCATTGAGAGACCAATGGAATAGAAATAATTGCATGTATTTTCTTAGTCTTTCGCGTTTCATTAAACTTAATAGTTTGACGGATTTAATGTGAGTTTCCTTCAAAATTTTAGCAATAAATATGTTATGCATTTTATCTTCTTATACATTTCAGAATCACTGAAATCTATTTTTATCGTTAAATTTAGCAAATATTAAAAATTTCTTAGAAAATATCCTATTTCAAAAATTAATATTTTGAATTGTTGTATATTATGGTAATTTCTATTATAATATAACAATAAGAGTTTTCTTGAATCATTTCGAGATTTTCTGAGAAAGAAAGTTTCACAAAAAAACTTCACAGTCGAAATTGTGCCAAGATTTGAATTAATATTTCGAAAGAACTGTCGGATATAGCTTTGAATTTTGTAACAGTTCTAAAACTGGATTCGTTTTAATTGAAGTTTCCTGAATGAAAAAAAAATCGATTGTGTGTATGAAAATTGAATTATTTTGGAGTCGTTGGTGAGTGTGAGCGTTTGGTTTCTAGCGACGGGCGATTGATTTTTTTTACCGGAATAGAAAGTGTTGATTTTGGCCAGTTCTCTGTCGCAATAATGGAAGAATTTCTCGTCGAACTTTGCAAAGTATCGGGTCAACACCTCCGGCTCCACGTGCTCCGCGGATGGGGCCTGCTCGACGGCCGCATAAAGCAGAGCCTTCATCTCCTAAAAATAAGATTTTTGTGAAAATTAATTTTCGAAAAAAAAAAAAATAAAAATAAAACAAAATTGTTCTCCGAATTGGGCATACTTCGTAGCTGATGTACTGCTTCCTCCATTCCGGCGTGATGTGGGCGGACAGGTGTTCTGCGAACTTCATCCTCACCCAGGAATTATTTGTTCACCATCGGAGCAAAAGAAAAATAAACTAAACCAAACCAAAATATTATCTTTGACGTTGCGTCCGCGTGACGTTTCGGGGACATTGCAGGAGGCGTCGCGACGCCTCCTGCCATCTGACCAACCGGGAGATGGCGTTGCTTTTTCAAAGCACCTCCAAACCAGGACATTCATACATTATTTTGGATAATCAGCCTTCTTTACTGCGTCCAAGGAATTAGCTCTGTATTGTTCAACCTGATAAGTTATCGCGAAACCGCGCGACGCGCGCGCTCCGCTTCCTCTATTTTCATGCTTTTCATTCCCACTGTGTTTCATCCTTTTTATTTTCAGTTTGTTTGTTGCATCGAACGAACAGTGAATGAAAAGCCGATGAATGTGAATGTTTGCGCCTCTTCTTATTTTTCTTCCTTTTTTCGTCCTTTTTCGCATCGCGTGCGTGCGTTTGCAGAAGCGGCGTCGCCGGTGACGTCCGAGCAGTTTTCCGCCAATCCTGGTTCTCGGGAAACTCTATTGATTTCCATCCAGAAAATGGTTGAACGTTGGGCAAAACATATGGACTGAATCGCGGAGCGAAGGTGTGTTATTCGCAAAACGCGCTATGAAATTCGCGCTCATCGTGGGTGTCATCGCCTCGGTTTCCATCCTCTGGGTCCGCGGAGAACTGGAGTACTATGATGGTGAGTCTCCAAATGTGTTCACCCTTTTTATTTTCACCCTACGCAACAGACAATTTCAAGTCCACTCTAAAGTTGTTGACCTCCATACGCCGCTTACGTTTATCCTCTTCGAAAACATTATTAACCTACAGCTGCAAACTATCTCATCTTCACACAACTATTTGCTACCTACTATTAACAACAATCCTCAAATATTTCATTTCATTCCATACGTTGTTCACTAAAAAAAAAGTAACAATCACAAATCGTTTTTCAAATCCACAGCGATAATCTAACAGAAACATTAATTTAACAACAAGAATTTACATCATACATTTTAATTAATCTTCATAACGGCATTTCAATAGGAACAATGGATCAAGAGCATAATTGACAACAAAGGTCATGGTTGGTTGGCGTCGGAGATCCGAAACGCAATACAATTTAAAGCGAAATATTTAATTGTAATATGTTTTCTCATCTATTGTCAATCATATTTAAAACATAACATTTTTATATTGTTAATTACACAGCAAATTAACTGTTTCTAAAAGTAAAGTCATTTATGAATGATGACTTTGTATTTTTGAAGGAATTTGCAAATGTGTATTTATTTTATGGCTTGAAATTTGAGATATCCAATAACGAAATTATTTAAAAAAAAAGCAAATTTACGTTTTAATTTAATTTTATTTACATTTTGCTTGTTCGAAAATTTCAGATTTTCCAAGAAAAAAATGCAATGATTAAGTTCCAAACAGAATTATGCAACTCGAGTTGAGAAACTTCGGTCACTGACCTGTTTCGTATGTTTTAATTCCGCATAATTACTATGAAGATTTATGAATGAACGATGAGTTGGTTAAATGAATTTACTTATTTTGCAAATAAATTAAAAATTGTGAAAGTCTGATTATTATAAAAGTTGTGTAATTAATTTTTTATTTTATGTAAACATTGTTTAATTTATGTTGTAATTAAAAAAAACTTGATTTGTTTTTGTTATTAGAATATAACAATGCATTTTCGAATCCGGAAGCCGCCTTGATCTCGCAACTGTACATGGACCCGAGGTGGAGGGCGACGATCGCTTGGAAGAACGATCGCGAGGATCTGGGCTTGTTCAAGCAGAACCCTTTCGTGAAGGCCAAGCTGAGCGAGAGGGTGAGAAAGCTGGAGGAGTTCGTGAACCGGAGGAGGAAGCAGCTGCGTGAAGCGGCTCAGAGGGAGACGTTCATACAACTTACGAAAGATCGCGAGGAAGAGTACAAGAACAAAAACTACGAGCAGTATCAGCTCAAGTATCCCAACCAGCAAATCCTGGACGACGTACGACCGTATCCGCACGAGGAGAACGACTTCAGTTTTCGAGATGAAGATAACGATGATGATGATGAGGGTGAAGATGAGGAGGAGCAGCAGTTCGAGGAGGCTCCGGCGGCAGAGGCTTCAGGAAAGGGGGCTCTGGGACAACTGAAGATCAATCGGGATGACCCAGTGGAGTTTGGCTACGTTCCACCCGATCCACGCTTCTACGAGGAAGCCAACACAAAAGGTAACGATTACGATTAAAATGATGAAGATGCAATATGTTTTTGTTCTCTCTGGTAACACGCGCATTATCGATTCGACAGAGGCGGTTGCTAATGACAAATTGGACGACAAGCAGGAGGAATTCGTAATTGGCGGTGACATTGCGAGGACGGAGGACCAAAATCAATACGTTCTGGAGGCTGGAAAAGAGCGCGTGCAGAAATTCGTCAACGGAGAGGACGCGGTCCACGTGATCGCCGTTAAACCTCATGGACACAACATCGAATCTGCCGGAGTCTACATCATCGCCATAGTCGCTGGAATCAGCGCTGCAGCTATGGTCGGACTCATCGCCTTCGCAATTGGATGGTACAAGTGAGTACAAATAATCTTCGCATTTCCAAAATTTCTGTCTGTCTCTTCGATTACATTCGTTTTGAATTTGTTTCTCAGTGATGTGGATGTTTGAGGGGAGATGTGAGTAACCTGTAGGGCTACATGTAAATGTGTACACGCAAAACCACTTATTTCATAATCCTCTTTGTTTCCTTCAGCCAAATAGCTTACAACATCACTAATTATTAACAAAGATTGCACCAAATTCTTATATTACCAACAGCTCTGAAAGATACAATTAACGAAAAAACTTCAAATTCTGTTATGTCGTATTTACGTTAATTACCTGAACACCATTGATCGAATTTTATTTAGTTCGATTTCTTAAACGTTATATAACCTTGTTATCGAACGTATTTGAATGTTTCGCATACCATGCACGTTGGGAATACTTGCAAATATTTATCAATATAACAAAAACGCATGTGTTAACAATCAATTGAAATGTTACAGAATTATATATCATTGAAATTCACATAATTTATTGTATACAAAAAAAATACATGAACAAAGCGACCACAGGCAGTATTTTTTGCCCAAATTTAATATTAGATAAGAATTATGAAATGTGTTTGTATGATAATTGATGTATAAACATGAAAGTATAAATGCATGAGAAAGTCATTGTTATTGGGTTAATGTGTAATGCAGTTCGGATTGTTCCCTGAGCATCTTGGCCGCTTTTTCTGGAGTCAAATCGCGTTGGCTCTGCGCCAAGAGTTCGTAGCCAACGACGAACTTCTTGATTGTAGCGGATCTGAGCAGTGGAGGCAGATACGACCCATGGAAAGTCCAGTGTTTGCAATCCATCTCCAATTGAGATCCGGTCGGAGCTCCATGCCATCCCATGGAGTACGGAAAACTGCACTTGAACAAATTATCGTATTTCGATACGAGAACTTTCATAGCTGCGGCCAAAGCGATCTTCTGCTTAGAATCCAAATCGGTGAATCTTTTCACATGCCTGATTGGTAGAACCATGGTTTCGAAAGGCCAGATTGCCCAATAAGGAACGACTATTAACCACTCTTCGTTACTGAATACAGTCCTACATTTGCGTTGCAACTCTTTTTCAGTATAATCCTCGAGCATAGGTCTGCCGTGTTTCTGGTAATAATCCAGCTGAGTTTTATCCTTGAGTTTGGGCTCGTTCGGCATGAAACTGGAGGCCCAGATTTGGCAGTGCGGATGCGGATTCGAACATCCCATCATCGCTCCTCGGTTTTCAAACACTTGCACCCACTCGTATTTCGCGCCGAGCTCTTTCATTTGACGGATCTGCAAACGGAAAATCGTTACTTCATACAGATTGAGAATTGGATGGTGTAAAGTTACCCATTCCTCGATGATCTCTTGTATTTCATCAGAAGTCATGGTGGGTAGATAGATGTTGGATTTGGGATGGAAGCACATGACTTTGCAGGTGCCCAGTGCCGGGGCGGATTGAAAGAGAGGATCGTCGGATTGAGGTGGAGTTGGGCCTTCTTCTAATAGAGCAGGAAAATCGTTGGTGAAGACGCAAGTGGATTTGTAGTTGGGTGTTGTGATCCCGGAGGCCCTCTTCGCACCCGGACAAAGCGGGTTATCGGGATCGAAAGGTGGTACAGCTTCAGTTGCGCTTCCCTCCACCTGACCGCTCCATGGCCTCAACATCCGATGAGGCGACACCAGAACCCAATCATCCCTTAATGGGTTGTACCGCATATGCTGATGTTCTAAACAAAAAAGAATCGATTACTGTACAGCTAAGATCGATATACGCTTTATTACCGTTCGGGTCAAACATATCCGTTTCGCAATTCGCTGTGAACACGACTGCTCGCAAGTACTCGTCGAATGGAATGCGATAACTTTAATCTATAACTTACATAATCCATGGCTCCATCTCTCAGCCGACCTGCACACTAGAGCTCACCCACACATTTAAATTACGTGAGCGTTGCCATGGAAATAAAACACAAATTAATTCTCCATCCCTTTTGAAACTATAGTTACTGCATTTACCGATGAATTATTGCAGCAAATTTTAGTTAATTTATTTAATTGAAGAGCGTTGATTTCAATGCGCAAATTGACCGACTATTTGGAAATCGACGCTCTGCTGAATTTACTTTGAACATAAATTAATTTGATTTGTATCCAATAATGAAAATGTAATCACTAATTAGCAAATTATACTAAATTATTTTTTTTTGTTGTAATTCAAAGTTATTTATAAATTGTTATTTTACTGTTTAAATCAATCAAATTCGTTCTTTACGGTATTTATACCGTTAGTTAAAAAACTAACAGTGAATTAGCAATTTTCTTTGCTTTTTTTTGTTATTAGATAATCTTTGCGGTTTAGTAACATTTATTTCCTGAATTCACAACAATTTACTCTAAACTATAGTTGTTATATAATAATATATTGGTTTTCTTAATTATGTTTGAGTTTATCAAACCAAAGTTTTGATTTATGATCGTCTAATGCAAATATGTATCAATATATTGATTATGTAAATATCCTATTACCATAATTGCCCAAACTAAATCTTTTGCAAAAGTTCATTAACAATATTTTGAGTTATGGGAGTAAAGTTTTAATGGTAATTATGGAACATCTGTTCAATATATCTTAATAATAATAATAATCTTTGCCATTTAGTTTCTCTACAAAATAACTACGAAGTATTATTATTTTAAATTAATTCTTATATTTTTTAATTTTATAATATAATTTCAAATTAATTGAAATTACTGATAATATTTTAATGAATGTCTTAATTTCTTATGTAAACTAATTAGGTTGAAATCTAAAAATAGTTATAATTTATAAGAGAAAAGTCCATCAAATAATTTTGTAAACGGGTTTCTCTTTTGTCCAAGTTGGAGTTGGAAAATAGCCTCTTTCATTGCGCGCAAGTTTTCATTCGAAAATCTTCTTTAACGATTAAGGCCATCAACGTCTTTATTCTGGTATTGTAACATTAGCCTTCATCCATTATGAATTAACTTTTCGATTATGAATGAACGAGGAGAGCATTTGCATCGGCGCGTTTTCCGCTTTTCCTTCGGCGTCCAACATATGTGTGTGTGTGTGCGAGAGCGCGGAGTCGGAAAAGCGCTTTCCGCACAATCAGTCGCACGCCGATGGTATTCGGGGGAAGAGAGCAAAAGTTAGTTTGAGTGCGTGTCTCCTGAATCCCAGATACGCGTGTCCTCTGTCCCATGTATAAAAATGTTTTGGAGTTCTTCGCTCTCCTGAAGAACGGCATCTACCATTGCGCCCAAAACATGTAAGCAGTCCAAAATCCAATTTGTTTCTATATTGATTAATAGTTTTACCTAATACATTAAAAGCACGAATAATTTACCCAAACCAATAAAATTTATTGATGGTCTACGTCCGTCGCTGCTTTTGGCACGTTTTCCTTCGTCCTTCATCCGTTCCAACATATTAAAAAATATTTCTCCTTTCCGCTTAATTAAACATTCCTCATCGCACGCAAATCATCTTCCAAGCGCTTTCAAATGGTTTTATCGAACACTCAAAATTTCTGGATTTCGTTTATGCTAAACGGTGAAAAGTTCTTCAGACAGACAGGAAAATCCATATATTCCCGATGGCATATTCGCCTCAATCCGAAAGAATATTCCAAGTGTCTCATCAATCAATTGAATTCGCTTCGCCAATTATTCAGAACGAACTGTTTGTCGATGCATTTTTCGTTTATTCGCTTTTCAGAATCGAATCGATGCGGTGAAGATATTTCCGTCCTTTATTTCTGAATCGCGTTTCCGTAACACGCGTGATTGGAGCGCAAAAGAACATTTTTACCGGACCTTTCTACTTAATTAATTAACTAATTAATTAAATAGAGCGTAATGGATTATTTTTTTCCTACAGCCAAAATTGTAACTTTACTTCCAATCGCACTGATTGAAACTTATGAAATAATTCTAATAGATTTTCAATAATTACACAAACAAACTTTTTCCATGTAATTTTGACAGATTAACTAATTAAATCTACAATTAATAAATAATTAAACTTACCTTGATCGATACTTTTGACGTATTCAATTTCATTGCAAAAACTTACCTTGATTAACTATTTATGTGTAAATTAAAAAAAAAAGTTTCAAAGTATCGAAAATGACCAATGAATGTATAATTAAAGCTATTCTATCATTAATTAACTATAGTTGTCATAGGAAATCCGCTTACAGCAATTATCGAGTTTTCAACGAACTTTGGACTATTTTCCACTTAATTGTAGAGAAATTCTGTCGAATTGCGAGTCGCATTACTGTAGTATTTGCAAATGAAAATGACTTGGTGACCTTTCGCGTTTGATTTTGCGAAATTTGCAATCGGAGAGCAGAGCGCACGTGGTTCTCAATAAGAAGTCCGCAAATGCGTGTAACGCGACACGACGGTAATTTGCTTTCACAAGCTGGCGATGTTTTAAAGGAGGAAAGATAAATATTGATGGAAGGAAATCGGCGTTAAAGTGGAACGGAAACGCGATACGCGCAAGGCGAGAGAAACATTAGCTTTGATGGGTGACTACCACCTTCTGGATTGGATTGCTTTGGTTATTTATCGATGGGTGCAAATAAAATGAGGATCGTGGGTCTTCAGTTTGCTTTAATTCCTTTCTCTATTCGTAATTGAACCTGCGGCCTCCGTCGAAGCGAAAACCGTAGGCTGCGGCGTTCTTGGCGTCCACCAGCGCCGGGTTTCGATGCTTGTAGAAGCTGCCGTGGGAATGGGCGGCCCTGGATGAGCCGGTGCCCTCGCTGCGTGGATAGAAGGCTTCGAACGTACCGTCTGGAGGAAGCACCAGTTCCACCTCTTTGTCCTTGGGATCGTATGCAGACACCGAAGACATCATCACCAACACCACCATCATCATCATCATCAACGCAAGGACGCGCAGCATTTTGTGCGAGGGCCGCGTTAGAAACTACTCGCCGCCAGATGCATTCGCACTAATAATATTTCACTTTCTCTTTGAAGGCTGTCCGGACGTGAACAGGGGAAAAGTCCGTCTACTCGGACTATCGAAAACGTTTTTATTTACGTAATCCAAGATCACAAACAATCGTTTAACCCAAAAAATGTCTTTAAGAAACTCCGTATTCTCAGATGAATGTAAACGCAGCCGTAATCTATTTCTTATGGATGTGTTGAATTCAACTGAAGAAATAAAAAAGTCATTTCGTAAATTTACTTTTGATCTACTTTTAAAAATAAGAAAAAAGTGTTAAGAAACACCTAATATATTTTCTCTCTAAAGAAAGGCACTATCTTTTCCATAATTAGTCTACTTTTAGAAGTAACGAAGAATAGTATTTACAACTAATAAATTTCCATATTAAATTTATGTTTGCATAAATGTAGATTTTGCTTTGAATAATTTACATTCATTTCTCAAATTTACATAAAAAAAAGCACATATTATCTACTTTTAAAAATGATATCATTGTTTTTGTATTACATATTATATTATATAAAATATTCCAGAAAAATGAAATATTTTTAAAATTACAAAAAACTATAATTACAAATTGTTAATTCATATTTTAATATCTGTTTTATAACATATAAATTATTTAAAATATTCTTTAATTAATTTAGTTTAAATAACTATATAAGTTACATAGAGTTATTTAGTAGATTTGAAATTAAAACTTTGCTCATAAATGTTTTAAAACTTATTTTCTCTTGCTCGACGAATTCTTGGATGAATTCTTTTGAAATTCAGACGTAATCACTATAAATTGTTTAATTAATAGTGTTCTTTCAACGTAAGTAATACTAAGAGATGTTACATTTCCTAAATTACAGTCAAACAGAAGGGAAAGAAAATAAAATTTGAAAGAAAAAAGTAAAGGAGTTTGCAGGCTCGAGACTTGAAAATTAATGAACCCCGAAATCGGGGCAGTCAATGGCAGAAGCCGAAAACTCCCTCCGGCTTTAATTAATTACAATCTGCGATCGTTGGCAGCAGCAGAAGCAAACATCGGTTAGTTCGGCACAAAGAGAGAAACTTTTATTTCGTTAGATTCGCAAAAGACTCGCAGAAAATATCCGTCTATCTGTGTGTAAAAAAAAAGAACCAAAACAAAACACATCAAAGAAATGGACGATCTCTAAGTAATTTGTAGTATTGCAGTCGTATTAGCGTGAGTGCACCAAATGTCTCCTTCGATTTGTCAAGAAAATATGGATTGTTCTGTAAATAATAGATGTGTGCGAACTCACGTATAAAGAAAAAAACTTTTCGTAGTGAATTTTTAAACTTGAAAAACGTCTTACAATCGACTCCGTCTCTCGAAATCCTATTAACCAGAGGAGGCATTATTTAATGCAGTTTTCACGAGTTCTTGCAGTTCGATAAAATATTTATTTTTCTACCATTTATTAAAGAAAACTTTTAATTTAATACGAGCTTTAAAATATTTTACTTAAATGAAATGAAATTTTGTGAAAATGATAAAGTTTTGATACGATTTCGAAGCCAAAAGTTTTCGGTCCGTAAATCAAACGAAAGTAATAATAAAAACCCAATTACATACACGGATTTTCCATCCGAAGGAAACAAAAGGAACGCGAAAAAAAAGGAAGAAAGAAACGAACACATTCATCATGTCTGAATGTGTTTTCTTTCGTTTTCCTTCAAGAGAAAAAAAAAACGATATGCGAATTTAAATTCACGTTCGTTTTTCTCCCCTAAATTCCGATGGATCTCCGGGAAAACTCGCGAAAAGCAAACAGAAGTTTTCATAATAACGTCGGTCCGTTAATTAAATTGCAACGTCGAATGTTTATTTTTAATCTGCCATTAGTGGAGCTTCATCATCTCAGTTGTCTCTTTATAACCATGACGACAAACAAAACAAAATTGAAGAAAAACAATTAATTAATTTGCGTTTGTCGTTTATCTTTTTCAGTTTGCAGAAACATGTGAAGAATGCTTCGGACGTCGAGTATCCTGCGTACGGCGTGACCGGACCCAACAAAGAAGTCTCTCCGTCTGGAGACAGAAGGTTGGCCCAGTCCGCGCAGATGTACCATTACCAGCACCAGAAGCAGCAGATTATAGCCATGGAGAAGTTAGTATCGTTTCACAAATCAAAGGTTAACAACAATAGCGGCAAACGTGTAAAGAATATTAATCAATACTAAACGAATTAGAACCATACATTTTTAAAAGGATTGTTCGACTGCAGTAAAAAAAAAAACTACGGATGAATAATTGCCAAGGCTTTTAATCATACCGAAAGGTGATTTATATTGTTGACATCGCAACTATTATCGATCGTTTTTGTTCCAACAATTTATCTTGCTTTACACCTCGCGAATTACGAGCTCTACCATATCCGAACAAACTTCATAACAAAGATTTTCCATCAAGATTTATCATAAAATTACATTTTATACTGAAAATTTCAATAAAATACTTATACTAAATGATGAACTGAAAGAAACTAAAAGTAGTCATTGGTAAAGTAGACTACTTTTTATTTAAAACTGCAAATGCCCAAAGGATTTCTCTTCAAAGTTCTTTTGTGAAAACTGTAAAGCATTCAGTTTAATTATAAGTTGGTAGTGAAATCCTTTCAGCGGCGATTCCTCGTGGAGCGAGAGGAGAGTGCTAACACATTATGCCAATACACAAGAAGTTTTGGCTGAATGTCCCGGGGGTAGAGAGGGCTAACGTAACGTGTATCTAATTCGAATCGCTTGGGATTCGGAGGTGCATCAATACATACACTCCAATTTCGTAGAAATCGATACAAACAAATAGTTATTATTTACAAATTTACAAAAACATTTTTAACAGATTTTACTAATAAATAATGCAATTCAAATTGCACGAAATCAAAAAGATAATCTTGTTAAATTTAATATTGCTTCATACAAAATGAATTATATTTTGAAGTGTATTAACTTTTTACAGTATGAATGTTGTATTTCCAAAATGTAATAAGTAACTTTGAACTTTGATAGCAGAGCCGCAGCGAGCGAAAGACACGGTTCGATATCTGAAGTGGACAGCGACGAGGAGAACGAGGAAGGAGATTACACGGTGTACGAATGCCCAGGCCTGGCTCCGGTAAATTGAATAAAAGAACAAAAAAAATACGAACGACAAGAGTGGATGTGGAGGAAATAAATTTTCGCAGTATTGACGAGATCGTTTTCGTGCTTTTTTTCTTTTGGCAGACCGGCGAAATGGAAGTGAAGAATCCGCTTTTCCAGGACGATCCGACTCCAGCGGCGACCCACAACACGCTTCAGGTCAACAAGAGCAGCGCAGGCGGTAAAAACGGAGACGGAGTCCAGAAGAAGTGAACCGGCTAAAGGGAGGAGAAGAAGGGTGGTTTCAACATTCTGCAAGCTTCGTTTTTCTTTTCCTATTTTTTTTCTCTCTCTATATATCTCCTATTACAAATTTATATAAATATCATTATATGAATATCTTTAACAAAAAAAAAATGGGGAAACATATAAATATATCGGTTTTTAATCGTGGCTTAGATCTTTATACCGCAAACATATCATGGACTCGACGTACCGCAACAGCAACAGCAGTTTTGTTATCACGACTCAATTTCCATCTATCTGCAAGTATTTCAATCACATGTTTCGAGAGAAAAACCTCAAGCCTACTAACAAAAAAATTATTCGACCCACTTTGAAAGCAACGAAAGTTAGGCGAATCCTAATTGTAGAGAGGCGAAAATCCTTATATATTATCCTTAAATAGGAAAACCAAGAAACCAAGAAGAAAACCCATACGCTTCAATATATATAAATATATCCTATAAGTATGTATTCAGAAACTTTCTCTACTTCCATCCAATCCAATCAAAATTAACATTTGTGATTTAATTATATAAATTATGTACATATAACAATGGACGAAACATCACTTTTGTTTCTTCGATTCCTTTGTTTCCTTTTTCGTGCCGCGTTTGTTTTCAGTGACAGAAGAAGGCACATTTATATTAATTGAGTTTTATTTTCAAAAGACTGAAATAGTAGCGAGTGAAAACAATGGGATCTTATCGATTTTTTAAAATAAAACAACTTTCTATGAATATATATATATTTAGCAAAGCAAAAAAATGAAAAGAAAAAAAAATAATTATATTACAATTAAACTATTATTAATAGATGAATCTAGAACAGAGAGATTATATAAAACAACATATATATGTATAAAACCAGCTTTTAGATAAAAAAATAATGATAATATACGACAAGATATCTCTAGTTTGTAAAATTGATGATGGCGGAGGAAAGTGGAGAATAAATAAATAGTATTTAGCTGATCTTCCAGAGGAAACTGAGATGAATGTATATATTATGTTCCACTTTTGTTTTGTTCGTTCTCTTCATTTTACTTTCCTCGTATTTATTGTTGTTGTTCTCATTTTAACGTTTCTTTGTCAGTTCAGTTTATTTCAGTTGATGTACAAATTTGAAAAGAAAAATATAAATGAATTCTATATATATATATACAACAGATGTATAATTATTATATTATAAAGATGATAAATTATTGAAAGTTATTGTATATTTTTGTCTTAATAAAGAAAGAATTTTATGTCACAGAGATTGGACAGCCCACTTAAATGTAATCAACTTTGATAATAGCGAATTACGACAAAATTAGAAACACCACAAATATGTAGTTACACTCGATTTATTCCCTGTAGATTTAGCTTTAATTAGGTTATTCAATTTTCTACGCGGTGCTTGCGATTAGCGAAATAAAAGCTTAAATGTGAAGACATTGCTTAAAAATATTAGTTCAACTTTGACAGTCAATTGCAAAAATACAAAAATGATAAATGTGCAATTAGTCTGTTCCCTGTAGTTCCAGCTTCAATTATATTTGTTTTAACGAATGAAAATGTGAAGATTATTCGAGCCTTCAAATTTAATTACTTTAACTTGACAATAAGCTGAATTTGAATTAAATTTCTTTAATTTTTATAGCGTATTACAGAAAGTATATTCATATCAACAGTTTCAGCTTTGATTAGAATATTCAATTAAACATGTACTGTTCTTGATTATCCAAATTCAACTTATTTTCATTAATTATATATTTATCTTTAATTGGTTTATTAATTTGTCTGTTTGATATTTGTTGTTAACAAAATAAGAGGCAAAACGTGATGATTACTCATTAAAGAAGGATGTAGAAAAAGGGGTATAGAGCATTAAAAGAAAAGCTTTGTTTTGTAATTTTTATTTTATTTTGTTGTTTATTGTTCGCCGATGGCATTGGCGCGAAAATATAAACGCAATTCACGAAGATAACAAGATAATTTGTACAGCTAAGCGAAACACGTTCGTCTCGTCCGCCCGTCATGATTTCCTTCCATCTATATACACAATGGTACTGTTTAGGCATCATTGGGAATTGGTTGGTATATTTTATATCGAAAAATTGTTCGGTTTTCGTATCAGATTTGTAGGAAACACGTAAATGTTACAACAAGGGGGAGCGGTATTTTTTTTTAAAAGGAAAATAAATAAATAATGCATCTATTTTCTTATGAAAAATAAAAACAGAATACTAGAAACGTTGCGACGCACGGCGAGACCCGTAAGAAGACGGATGTGACGACAGAAGCGGATCCTTTCCTGTTCGTTCGTTAGTTTTAGGATGAGTTTTTGGGGGGGATGGAGGTCGAAAAACAAAAAAAAGGCCGCTCACATCCGGAATGTTATCGGGGGTTGCCGATACGGCGCAATTTAACTAAAATATTTTTTGTAGTATGTTTTTTTTTTAAATGAATTTTACTATTATTTAGTCCGTGGCCGTGTTGCTGCTTCCTGCGGACTTTTTAGTAGTAGTTGGTGTTGGATTTGTTGTTACTTGCATATACAGTGACGCGATGTATTGTGATCTTTTTGTTTTACGACATTACTTTTAGTTGATTTAGGTGATCTTGACTAATAATTTAGAAAAGGGCCTTGATTTCATCGTACAATACAAGGACGATAGCGCCACCAGTACCACGGAGGACGTTGGAGAAAGCACCCTTGAAGAAGGCACCGGTACCCTCGGTCTTGGCGATGGTTGCCCAGCAGTGGGCTGTGCTCTTGTACAAGATGTCACTCTTGGCGCGGCCAGACTGCATCATCATACGCCTACGGACGGTGTCGAAGGGATAGGAGATGATACCGGCAACGGTGGTGACGGTCTGCGCGATAGCCCAGGAGATGACCAACGGGGTGTTCTTGGGGTCGGGAAGGAGACCCTTGGCGGTGTCGTAGATACCGAAGAAGGCGGCACGGTAGATGATGATACCTTGGACGGATACACCGAATCCTTGGTACAGACCCTTGAGGCCATCAGCCTTGTAGATCTTGCTCAGGCAGTTGCCCAATCCGGAGAATTCACGTTCTCCACCAGCTTTACCGACATCAGCGGCCAACCTATATATTGCAACAACAAAAACATCAGTGTTATTGCTTCCAATTGGAAATTGTTCAAAACGTACCTGGTACGGGCGAAATCGAGTGGGTACACGAAGCACAAGGAGGTGGCTCCAGCAGCACCGCCGGAAGCCAAGTTACCAACGAAGTAACGCCAGAACTGGGTGTGCTTGTCAACACCGCTGAGGAAGACCTGCTTGTACTTGTCCTTGAAGGCAAAGTTAAGAGCCTGGGTTGGGAAGTAACGGATAACGTTGGCAGTGTTACCGCGCCAGTAGGCTAAAACACCTTGCTCCTTTGGGATACGGACGAAGCAATCGACCATACCTATCATAAACAGAAACAAGAACAAAATCAGTACATTGCATTACATATATATATAGATATAAATTAACAACTTTATCAGCAACAATATTCAATCAACAAAAAGACCAACCTTTTATTTATTATTTCATCTAAATTCAGTTCGTAACAATCATATATAATCATAATTTTCTATAATCCGTTCTTCATTTAAATACTTTGCAATTAGTTTAAAAGATTTAAATTTGTTACTATAGACAACCCCATAACCATTTGACCATAAATTGATAAATTTAAACCAAAATTAACAATAACCAATCAAATCAATGAAAGGAAGAATACAAGTAAACAATAGTAATAATCATTAATAAAATAACAGCATATATATGATTAATTTTCTTATTTGAAAATTTCATATTTTTTTCTTGAGATGTTGGCCTTTCTGAATTTCTAAGGACAATTGAAGACTGTTAAATACAATGGTTTGTTTCATCTTCTGTGGTTTAGATTAATTTAGAAGAAATATTATTAATTTAGTAGTTTTAATAGTGCTTGTGAAGATCCTCTCCTTATGGTAAATTGAATATTCCTTAATATCTATCAATACAATGGTAAGTTCGAAATTTGAAAGATTTATATTCCTTATGCTGATGAGGTTAAGAAAGTAGTTCAAGCATTCATATTGATTCGTATTGATCATAAACACAAATTGTTGCTATTATTCAATATTAATTAGCTTGTAGAGCTCTCTTTTTATAAGTAATAACTTCTTTTTCAGATAAAAATATAGCTATAATCATATAATTCACATTTTGTTAGGCAACCAAATATACAACCTGATTTTATTTAAAAAATATTTTTAATAATTGTATCATTTTTTTACAGGTATGAAGAACAAATATTTCTTTATTGAATTAAGAAAGGGAACAGTCAACATGAAATATCGGAAGAATCAAGTTTCTAAGAAGAATTAATGAGTTAACAACATCAGGTAACTTTTTTCATGGTAGTTAATCAATGTTGTTCTTAATTATTTTTATCAAGACTGCTATTAACTAATGCCAAAAGGTTATCTGCATTTACTACAAAGTGTATGAATTCAAATTAATTGATTCGCGTTTAATTTGGGTAACATCCAATAAAATTGAAGCTGAAACAATTGATCGAGCGAGCGATGAGTTTGAGTTGTCGATTGAAAAATGTTATTATGAATTGCAGTGGTTTGCTGCAATTTTATCGTTTAGCTTGCAACTGTAATTAAATAAAAGTGCACAAGTGCATTTCTTTTCTTGCTTCAGCACTTTTCAATCTTTTTTCGGAGTCTGAATTTCTTTTTCTTTCTTGGAATTCAATACGTCTGCACAAGGTGAACAGCTTGCGAGTTTACCGCTCCTATTGCGAGCCCCTCCAGACAGACGGTACAAATCAAAAGGCTTTTTCGAAAGCAATGAATACTGCGAGCACGTGGTTTTCTGTGACCGGCCGGCGCCATTTTGTGAGCGAAACCAACCATCGTGATTCATGCAATTTTATCAATCGTCGTTGCTGTAAAATGGAAAGTCCCGATAGCATTGCTACAGAGTCGTGGCATTTTGCTTATAGGACAAAAAAAAATACCGACGCAGAGCGGCCAGATAATAATTTGACTTATCATATTTCCTCTTTGTATATTAAACTATATATTATATAAAGGCTTATTAAGATGTTGAATGGATAACATCACTAAGCCTTGGTGTCAATTTTATTTAACGAGTAATTAATGTGGTCATTGACTTAGCAACCGGAACGAATATTGCAAAGTTAATTATCATAAAACCACGTGTTGTTTCAGAAGGCGATCTCTGACATTGACCTTTTGTAATCGGTCAATGATTTCCGTTACTTTTACTCCTTCTTCTTGGATTAATGATGCGTGAATAGTAAAATGGTTGTAGGATTCGCACTCAGGAATAATAAAATTTAAAAAAAGAGTATGTATATTAAGTTTGATCGACCTTCATAGTTGTAGGCATGTGACGCACGCATGAAACAATTAGTGGCTGTTATATAAGCGCGGCCACGTCGTGTGCCAAGTGTGTAACATACTTTGGCATTGAGATGAAGTTTAGATACGAGATGGGTAGCTTGCAAAAACCTTGGACCATAAGAGCAATTAATGGATAAATAGTAATTTGAAAAGTATAGAAGATAAGATATAAAAATTGTAATGGTTTTCAGGGAAACTGCCTTTGCGTAACAGGATGTGAGCAGCGCGCGCGCACTTGCGTCCATCGAGGAAACTGGCTCCTGGTTTTCCGGATCAATATCGATGCGAAAGGTGTTACATAAAGATTTTGGATCGAGTATGGAGAATTGATTCCGCCATGCGGCCTATTTTTTCCTCCTCCATTGATATAGCGTGTAGGTTCGTAAAGTAGGTCGTGGATAGATATAGATATTCCACTTTTCAGCTTTCTCACGAGGTCTTAATTTTAGATTGGATGCCGTTATGTAACTGGCTGTGTCTCTTGAATTGATTGAATTCGCTGACTAGTAATCGTAGTTCTTCTTTGCTGATGGCTTTATATATGAAAACGTGACTTCAATGGCGGACTTACCCTTGTAACGTTGTTCCTCAGAGATTTGCTTGGAGATGTGTTGGACCTGGAGGAGCAACTTGACGCGCTCGATGGGAGCAACGGCGGTCTTGGAGATGGCGGCGGAAATTCCTCCGGCGAGGAAATCCTTCATGAATCCCATAGGGTCCCCAAGAGACATCTTCGGTTCTGGTTTTTGGTTACGGCTGGGTCAAAGTTACAAGAGCGTTCCTTCTTGGACGTGTGTTCAGATCGCGCACTGAACTGCAAGTGAACTGGGAGTGGAGAATGGCGTATGTAGACGTGGTAGGCGCGCGTCGATCATGTGCTCTCCTCTCCCAGGCCAACGCCAGGAATAGATTTTTTCCACGTCACGGACGCCGAAACTCGTGTACTTTGCTTTTTGGTTAGATAATGGTAACGTTATTGAACGATCCTCTATGCCCATTATGTAGTCGTCGGTGGGTTCTCTTTTCTTTCCCTTAAAATTTCAGACCTATCTTCTCATTGTTTGCAACATAGGTGAACCATTTTATTCTGCGATTTCATGTTTGTCGCGTTATTTTCCACTCTTCGTCATTCCCAGAAGTTCGTTACAAACCAGCTGCAAAACCCACCAGACATATGGTCTTTTGTTTGCTACCTGAAAAGAGAGCAGGTAACCAAAAATCCCCTGCCTCCAGCGGAAATTTTTGAAAGATCCTTTCAATTTTCCCGCGACCTCCACGAGAACGATCCCCAAGATGCAGTAACATCTGCACCTGCGTATTCTCCTCCCAAGATCAATACGAAAACCGAAAATATTTTACTACAAAATTACAGTAAATCTTGTTGTATTTCCATTACAAAAGTACAATTGTATTACTTATACTATAAGACTTTTTTTTTAACTTTTATTATTCATTCACAACCTGCCAACATCCATGGGTATAAGTTGAATGTGCACTATAAGTCTAATGATTATATAAAATTTCTCGTTTTTTCATTAATTATATTTTCTTCTTCAGCCTATAAGCATTCTCTTCTGGACATAGACCTCTTCAATATGATCGGTATAATGTTAAACAAATAGTAAATATTCATTAGGAAAATCAATAGTGTTTTCGTGGCATTTTGTAACAAATCAATACCATACACATCCAAAACGCTCAAGACCTTCATAGTAGCACACATTTCTGACTCAAAATACTAACATCATTGATTCTTCTATAACTGTCAGATAGATGAAAATGCGATGTCTAAGGTGTGTCAATATTTGATCAACGATAAAAGTTTTCCCATTGTTTCTACTGAGACGCCAGACCTTATCAAGCTACGAGTAAATTACTCTAATCGTTATCAAACTAATCTGTTCTTGAGTGAAAAAATGTGAACTTGATTAATTCGATAATGTAACTCAGGGTCAAAGTTTCCCAATACATATTATTGAACTGCAAGTCGCGAGAAAAGAGACAAAAAAAAGAACGAGTGTCGTAATGCTATCGTCGCGTTATCATTTGAATGAAGCAAAAACTCGAGACAAAATGTGTTATTAATTCGCGTGTGCGCTGCGCGACAGACATTTGAACTTTGATTTTTCGTTATGTATGGATTATTCGAAAAAAAAAAAATCGCTTCGCATTGGAAATTGGTTAATTGACTGACGTGACGAAAACGCTTTTAATTGCGTAGTAGAGAGGACGATTTAATGGATTTATTTGCAAAAAAAAAGAGGCAACTTGATATTCGTTGCAATGATGACGCTTGTAACGTATACGTATTTAGTTAATGATAATCATGTCTGCTTCGGTGAGCGCAAGTACAGTTATTTCTAAGAACACTTAGACTAAATATTTATTAACCGTAATTGTTTCTTTTTATCTTAAGTTATGTCCATTGTGAAATTAATACTATTGCTGCAAAAGAAAATAATCGAGTATAAATGAAATCAATTTAATTTGAGTTTACAGTTGAGTGTTTTTTTTTTCTTGTAACCTTCTTAACCTCGGTTTTGCCTCTTGAACTGCTTAAGAAAAGTCAAAGCTAACCGTTATTTTTATCACAGTATCCATTGATTACGTATAGTATTTTTCGATACTCGATGAAAGACGATGTTGTGAAACGATCTAGATTATCGATTTCCGACTCTTTTTTTTTTCAAAATTGTAATTGGAAGTTGATTCTGCAGATGATGCGTTTATTTGTTTTTTCATTTAGGAAACAATGAACACAGTATCGGCCTTGTTATTTACGTTTTGGGATTTTGGCTTTGAACGCGAGGCCGTAAAAGCTTTATTTATAATTAATTATTCGACAAACAGACGCATTTTGCAAAAGGGCACTAGGTCTCTATTTTAAACTACTAATAATCGCAATGATTATGATAAGATCGTTATCGCTGCGATTTACACATTTTCATAACTACGCATTATTCGTTCTGAGATATCGCACTCAATGGGCAATTGCATAATTGAGTTATTTTCGAAATAGGTAACTATGCTCGACATCTCAATGTACAACATACGAAAAATAAAAACATCGTACAAGGTTTCGTTCGATGATGCTACTACCTACAGTTGTATAATTTTCACTTAGACAGATCGTGTTAATTATCCTGGGGATCGCGGATTTTTCGACTTTTCGCAGGTCGAAGCGAAAATCGTATTATTTTTCGCGGTTACGTTCGTGCTATAAAAAAACGCAAACACCACGGGTACTATGGATGCTTTTAAAAATAGTCGAAACGCCGTTGCATAACTTTTTGGACTTGCTCGTTAATACATGTAATTCAAATGTGGCTCGTGTGCATTCGAAATGAACGATAATATATCTTCATGTTAAGGTTGTCTATTCACTTTAAATATTCGTACTGTGACATGCATGTATGTACATAAAGCATTTGTGATTACATTTATCAATTTTTCAATTATCATTAATTTTATTGCATTTGCTACTAGAAAATTCTTGCAGTTATCATTTATTTATTGTGATATTGTTGTATATTATGTTTCCATGGGAATTGATACGTTTCAGTCCATCTAAATCAGAGGTTCCCAAACTTTTTTGTGTCGTAGACCCCTTGCCTGATATTGATTTTTTGTAAATTTCTAACTGTAGTTAAGTTTTGTGTCAAAAACTCAAAGTAAAAACACATGTTAAGTTTTATACATTTATTAATTGAATTTAAATTAAAACTACTCAAAATAAAATTTTGTATCTGTTATATAAAATATAAGTAACATAAAATAAACTAAGCAATAAGTAAATGTTTTTAGTGAGAAGGATGAACCTGATGCTTTAATAATAAATTATCAACATTTGGCGTCAATTTTGTAAGGTTTAATCTTAAATTTCCTCGGCTAATGATGTCCAGCCTGTTTCTTTTTTTCGCTAGGAGATTATAAGATGTAATGTAAGTAAATAGGTACAATTTTCATTTGTGGTCGATATAGACCACTTTGGGAATCACTGATCTAAATGTATTGTAATTGTTTATTTCGTTAAACTGTTGACTTATTGGAATTAAACAAATCATATTATGCAGTGTTCATAAACATACTACTAAAATCCATGTAGTTATTGTCATATTTAAGTTAATTTTGTTTCTATGTAAATTGAGTAATGTTTCTATTCATTTAAATCGGGAATAACGAAACTATAGATATAACAAGAAAATAATGATTGCATTTCCATATTAATAAGTAAAACTTTTTTTTTCTAAAATTGCAATGCTAAAGTTATAATTGCAATGTTTACAATGTAAATAGTAAGTTGATTCCATCGTACTTGAATCGAGTAAATCGCAAAAACAAATGAAAACACGTCCTACTTATTGTTGTACAAACATTGACACATATAGAAACGAGAACGGGATGTTTGTTTTTGTATGTTTTTGTAATGTATTGTATTTGTAAAATGGTAGGGATATATATAGATACATTTTGGGTTTTTAAAATAAAATACATTTATTGTTGTACCATTCAAAATATAATAAAATAAAACATAAAAAATATATATATATAATATTTACTTGAAAATGCAAATATACGTCAATTTAATACTTGGTATAATATAAATAGGAAAATAATAGAAACAAAATATACAGAGTAAATGCACCGAAAAGGAGAAGTTGCGTGGAATGGAAATTTAATAAAACGATAATACAACACGTGCGCAACTACCCGACGTGACCAAAGAAAAATAATAATAATAATATATAAACGAAAACAAATAACTATAATAATAATTTACAATATTATTATAATAATAATATTTAGAGATTTCATGCGTTTCTTTGTTTTGGAGTAAAAGGGCGAGTGTATAGAAGGGTTTTTCTTATTTGGGAAGAAGGAATTTCCGTTAATAGAATATGTATATAGTATTTATATATAATATGAAACATTTTTTTTTTAACAAAAATTCGAATTTACAAACTTTTACTCGCGTTTCGAATTTCTTTGTTTTTCTTAGCTGCGAAGCGTCCGCAGTGGGAAAGCCGCGTGTGCTTGTTTTTTTTTAAATATTCTTTTTCTGTTTGAATGTAACGTTTCTCAAGCGAGGACCAGTATGTAAATTGGGATCACATATATGTATAACATCTCTAACATTTATATAATATTATAGAATATAATTTGAAAGTGGTCCTTTTTCTCTCGTCTCTCCTTATATATATTTTTTTCAATAGAATTATTATTTTTTTGTTTATGTGTGTGTTTTTCATTAGATGAAGACCTGAGGTGGTGGTGTGTATCGAGGATGATGATGGTGAGCACGTTTACAGGTTGCGGCAGACGCGCAGCCGGCTGACTAGCAAACAACTGGAAGAGAGTCCGCAAGAGGTCTTCGCCAATTGCGAGATGTTCACGTTCTTCGTGAAGTTTATCTTATTGCTGAATACCTGGAAACAAATGTTGGTAATATTTGTTGTTTTTGTGTTTTTGGAGTTGGTGAGACTCACTTGGAAGGATTTGGGTATCTCCTCCGCAGATCTGTGCACCAAAGTCCCGTTCAGATAGATCACGTTGGCTGCCTCGTCTTCGGGCAACGTCAGCGTTTGGTAGCTGAAGGTGGCCTCGCGTTCCATCCTCTTGAGCACCTCCTGGGCCTCTTTGCCCTCGCCGACGCAGAGCAGGCACGGCCCACCGACCGTCACGAAGTGCTTCAGCTTCTTCGGCGACGGCACCTAAAAAATGATCGACGCAAATGTTAGTGTTGCAATTTGCATTTGGTGTGTGTCTATTGTTTGAAAGTATACAAATAATAATTGTAGGCCTTTCGACTAAATATACGTTGCTGAAAGCATTTTGTATACGAAGAAGCGTGCTCTTTGGGTGCGATGCGTTTTCGAAGGAGGTGTTTCTTCAAAAAAGAAGGCTCACCTGAAGCACCCCGTTTGTTAGGTCACCGAGAATCAATGTCTGAGGTTTTACCTTTATTGGAGTACACGGGTACTCGGGAAACGCGGCCGCGACGGCCCTGGCGCCTCCCTCATTCGTCCACTCCGATATTCCTACAAAAAATTCTTGCCCTAAAATTTAAAAAACAAACGTTATATTTCTTGTTCAACTAAATTCACTGTGCTTAATCAATAAATACCAGTAAAAAGAACATCGCCTCCATCCAATTTCGCGTTCTGATCTGATATCTCGATTATCGGCATGTCCAGTTCCTTCTTCAAAACCACTCGAATCGTATCCACCTGGAATTGTATTAATAATATACATTTTATTTTGCAGGTGAAGGATGAAATGATATAAAAGATAGAATAAATCCAATATATGCGTATGAAAGCTTGCTAGATTCCCCAAACATT